TTTATTTACCCTCTCTTTCGAGAAAGAATTTTTTAGTTATTATACAAGAGTTTTTTTCCTTGTGCTTTATATAGTATTATGTAGACTATTTTCCCTCAGCATTGTAACTACGATGTGTGTAGAAGAACAAAATTAGAGGAAGGAAGAAAAATAAATTATGTCAGTATTACACTAACTTTGGCTCCAATTATTTTGAAAACTTCCACATCCATATTATGAAATATAGTTATACAGCAATGCTTATCATATTTTAAGTACCAGGGAACTCTACAAGATGAAAAATGAATGCCAATTTTGCCCTGTCTGACAATGAGCAGAGTCAACTTCGTTGTTGAGTGCAATTATAGATATTCCATTCTTTCTTTATGGCTTCTTTCTTTCTGTCAAAGTTATAGAGGCTTTTAACAGAGGTTTGATTGTGGGGATTGTGCAAAATATGGATGAACTTTGTCAAGTGCAGAGGAGTAACGGAATTACCATTTCCATTCCCAAGTTTAAATTCCTGACCTAACAAAGAATTGTCAGGTTATGTCATCATGTGGTACAGATATAATATATAAATTCTATTCCAAAAGAGAACAGTGGACAAGACTCCAGTGAGCTGTCTCTCCCTAGAAATTTTAGATAAATTGATTCTCTGATCTTTATTTTGACAGCTATTCTTTCCCAGCATTACAGCAGTGCTTGTAAAAAAACTTACTGTGGGTTTGAGGCTTGCTGGAAGATAGATATACATAAGCACTCACTCTTACTGAGTAAAATTTTTGATTAAACTAAAGGACATGCTCCTGTTGTAGTTTATTTATATCTTTAATTAATGATAGTGGGTTATAGAAAGGGTGTTTAGCGTATTTACTATGACATCCCTTATAATTACAGAAACTATTTTCTTTAAAACAATTCCATAGCATATGAGTCATCAAATTAATCCTGACATACAGGTATTTTCCAGAACTGCAAGGAAATTGTTTGATTGCAGGTAGTCAGCTGGAATTAAGAAAAAAATAAATTGATACACTTTTTTATCATATTGTATTATTAATTACAAAAGGTTTCAAGGCACAGGCAGACCTAAATGCTACTTAAAGTTCTATGATATATTATCTCTAGCATTCAAATCTGAAATACTTAAAAATGCAATAAAAATATTATTTCATTACTGCTTAAAAACAAAGTAATTTCATATGACTTTGAATATTTTTTCTGAAAAACTGGAACTATTTTCAAATATGATTAATCGCACTTGTCTTGTCAGTATTCCCTTCCCTTCCCTTCCCTTCCCTTCCCTTCCCTTCCCTTCCCTTCCCTTCCCTTCCCTTCCCTTCCCTTCCCTTCCCTTCCCTTCCCTTCCCTTCCCTTCCCTTCCCTTCCCTTCCCTTCCTTCCCTTCCCTTCCCTTCCCTTCCCTTCCTTCCCTTCCCTTCCCTTCCCTTCCTTCCTTCCCTTCCCTTCCCTTCCCTTCCCTTCCCTTCCCTTCCCTTCCCTGTAGCCATATGGCCATGATTTATATAACATGTTAAAAAGTTTGGTGTTTACTACATGCTACCATAGCCTCCTTTTAGTCAACCGACTCAAAAATGCAACTCGTGAAGACAGCTCATACCATCCTGAAAAATATCAGATGATTCACACTCTGCCATTTTCTATATTTTACCATTAGCTGTGGAAGAAGGTTAGCAGACAGATTTTAAAAATCTTATCAGCAGGTTAAACTTACACATGGCAGTGTAGTTTATTTCAGATGCATTAAATGCTACCCCAGTGTGTAGAAATATAAATGACTGCGAGGAAAATGGCAAGTGAATGGCTTCATGTCAAGCAGACAAGTGATGAAAACAACTTCTAACAGTCAGATTGGTATCACATTAATTTATACAAAGTGGCTGTTTAAACGACGCTTAAAAATGTGACAATCTTGTTGTGGTGTGACTTTCTCATGGCCAAAATCAAAGCCTTTTTCATTGCTTTTAAAAAAAAGCTAGAAGGGTTACGAATTTGCCAACAGCTGCTTTCTGCAAAACTATTCACACAGATGAGAACTTTCTCATGTGAGTTTCACTAACATCACTGGAATTCCTCACATAAACATGTTTCACCATGTGAAAAACTGTATTGTCCAGTCTTCAAGTTTAAAACCAGGTTGATTTAATGAAGTGAATGCTTCAATTATTGACAGCTCAACAAAGGCAGTATAAATTCCTCTAGACTGTGATTTAGCTTCTGGTATTTTCTTAGTGTAGAATATTGTGGAGATTGAGATTGTTTCTTAATATTTGAAGATCAGTAAGTTTCTTGAAAATATTTTGCATTGATAATATTGTTACTTTTCTTAGGAAACCAGGGATAGAAACCCTGTCAGCTGTCCCCTGGTATAACACCTACAGCACCAATATAAAATCTCACACATGCTATCATTCCTGCATAGCAGACCAGTGTTGGAAATCATAATGCTGTCCTGCAGATGGGAAGATTTCTGTTCAGAAAACCAATAAATATCCTCTTTATCTGGACCTAACACCACTGAATTAAAAGAGATGAACACTAAATTGCTAAAATGGAAAGCAATATATATGCACATTTAGTTCTGAACTGAGAATAGATGCATATTTTCCTTATCACATAACAGTTATAGCTTAGTGAGACTATTGGAAAGAAACTTATGCCATGAGTTGATAATTTCATACAGCTAATCCTTTTCCATCTAAAATTTAGGGATGGTTGATGCTATCCTAAAAGAGTGATATGATTCAATATATGGGGTGAGTCTTGGGCAGTCATTTAAAGACACCTAGTGTTTGCAATAAAAGGGATATAACTGTTAGCCCACTGAAGATGATGATAGTTTCAATAATATGGTGGAATGTAGGAGTGACTGAATTTCAAAACCAATTCTCAGTGTTTGAAATAGCGGTGAGATGTTTTCAATAGCAGACGTGCCATTCTGCACTCAGTTTGGGGGTGGGAGGAGATATCAGGTCTTCCCACTTTTTTTTTAATTTAAAGCAGATATAATGCTAATTTAAAGAACTATCATGAAGATTATGCTGAAGATTAAGAATATAATGGAGATGAACAATTAAAGGTTAGTTTTTCACTTAGAGGAGACTGTTGTTCTGAGATACAGAATACCTCATTCCATACTTTGCAGGGTACTTAAAAATAGATCCTGTAGCATAATTTATCATTGTGAAACCTTGGAAATAATCCAGAACTGAAATCAGTTTACTTCTGTTTCAACTGATTCTGCAACCCATCAATGTTAGGTCCAAGTATGAAAAGGTTTTGCAGGTTTTTGCTGCCTGTTGCAATTAGATTATGTAGATAGCATTGTGAAAGCTTTTGCCTTCTGGAGTTCTTCTGATGCTTAACGTGGCTCCATTTTCACTCATATGCAATTGAGATTGAGTTTCTTTCTAGGCCTATAATTATTTATGTTGCACTTCATGTCTTGTCTGTGATTTTTTTTTCTTTTGATTAGTTGTAAATTAGGGCATGAATTTGCTAGTATAATTGGTTAATTTTGGAATTGCAAAATTTACCTATTCCCCCCTCAGTTATTATCCAAAGTGTAGCTTGTTATTTGAACAGCTACTTTGAAAAATTATTTTGTCGATGTACAAAAAAAGATCAAAAAGTACATACAAGGCAAAAGTTTTCAGATTTTCATTTTCTATTATTTTAGGAATATTTAAGTACGGCAGTTTTATTTACTGACAGTGAATTGTTCCTCATACTAATGGTGACTCACTTAGTGTTTTGCTGATTCTCTGTGCTCAACAAAATACAATAACAATACAAAATTACTGTAATTTGGGGCTTGGATCTATGACACAACTCCACTTTTCTGTTTGCTTTTCTTTGGGGCTGAAAAGGTTAGATTTCTATAAATAGGACATGATCCAATAATCTGTAGAATTGTCCGTCCTTTGCTTTTGAGAGTCTGTGACATTTTCTCTTGATGACACCGGGTGCAGTGGCTTTAGAGAAGTACATTTGTGCTGGAAGGAAATGGTACCAAAACTGATTTCAGATCCATTCCCCTTTTTCTGTAAATACTTGTTTGTTTTTTTTTTTGTTTTGTTTTTTTTATTTTATTTTATTTTTTTATTATCATTTCCAAGAGGCAGTTTCCAGATGACATATTGTTGCTGAGGGGAGGGGGAAACATTAAGTATGACCACACTATACTGTACAATGCGGAAAAGTATGTGTTTCATTGTGAAGCCGATCTGTATTGCAAGGCATAGACAGTAAAGATGTTAATAAATGCTCTAAAATGTGTTCCCAGTTCCTATGTGTACTAGTATATCAAATACCAATCCGTTCTGACTGACACAGACAGTTTGGCAGACGCCAAGACCCTCACACTTGGCTGTCCACAAGCAGACTTTGAAATCCATGTTTAGGCATAAAAGTTCTCGTGAAATAATTTTCAGTGTTATTGAGCCTTGGCAGCTGCTTTTGGCTTGGGGATAATTTTTAGCTATTCACTGTTTCTGGAATCATTAATGATGGTAAATGGCAGTGAGTGGGTTGTATCAATTGTAACTTTTCAAAAGAAAAAAAATAGAGGAAATATGAGAATTTAATCGTGACTTGGAATTGTTGCAGTCTTTTTTGTCTATTCTAAAAATAATTGTCGCCATGAATAAATGAAAGAGTTTACCATGTTAACATCTGGGCAGAAAGTCAGGAGGTGCATTTACTTCAGTTAATTTACATACAGAAGAATAATTTTCAGTGTAGGCACTGTGATGATTAAGGGAAGTTTAATGCATTGACAGATAAAGGTCAACTATTAGAGTATGCTAATCCCCCACATTAGAAACATATCATGTTCCAGGTAATGCACTATCATAGAATGTGTTGAGGGCAAAATATCATGGAAGAACAAGGCCAGTTAGGTTAATTCAAAAAAAAAAAAGAGTTTTTTAGATAGAACCCCAAGAAAATGTCAACATTTTATCCCTCCTGATTTCACTTTCTCCATCTTTTATGTAGGAAGACCTCTACAATCAGTGTCATAAAGTAACTGAAGTAAGAATGTCTCTCATCCTACATCTGAGTCATCTGAGCTTCTTTACAGGATTTGTACACTGAGGTTCTTTCTTTCTTTTTTTTTTTTTTTTTTTTTTTTTTTTTTTTTTTAATTTTTTTGTTTATTTTTTAACCAGTGTCCTTGGCTGTGCATACTTGGAATAAAATAATCCAGGAGAATATCAAATGCTACTGGAAAAATGGTAAATCCTAAAAAAAGTCATTAATATCAATTCTTTGGCCTTAGAAAGCAAATTCTTCCACTGTGATGGTACATTACACGTGTGATATGTGCTGGCTTATGATGACTTCCCTGTAATTATCTACTTCCAAGACAAGTTGGCACAACCTTTAAGTGCATCGCATTTATTAATAACAATTCAAAATTGCAGGTCGCTGAAGTCTGGTATGAAGGCTAAAGAGAATCTTCTCACTATCTATATGGGTAACTGTCAAAAAGACTTGATTGTCTTGTATCTTCTCTTTTAAACCTTTTCAGTCTGGATCTCAAGAGAACAGCAGAAACAATTGTTTCTTCACCACTGAGCAGAGTCTGGTGACCTTTTCTGTCATTCTTACAATATATAAAATTAGTTTTAATGTCACCATGGCTCATCCTGAGAACAATTTTAAAAGATTAAAGTAGTACTTCATAGAATGTACCACTATTTTTCTTGAATTTATTTCGTTAAATGAGCATGAATAATAGCATTTGCAACAGATCTTCATTGCAGCAGGTGATGTGTGTTTATTTTCACAAAAATGCAAATCTACTGAATATATAATATTTTAACCAGCGTGTTTATATAAAATGATTTAAATAATGAAATTATATTTCCCTAATAGAGAAATTATTACAGTTAAGTATTTTGGCAAGATCGCTCTTTTTCAACTCATTGTCTACTAGATAAGAAGTTTGGAAAGGTAAAAAAATTTTGATTTACTGTTAACAGTAAAATCAACAAAGCTTTTGAGAATTTAAATCACTTCCTCGACCTCTTTTCTAATGAATATGGTTATCATTAAAATTGAATTCAGATATTTCCATAGTGAGTTGGGTTTTACTCCTGGACCCATTCCATTAAAAGCACCACATTTGCCTGAAGGTAACTAGCATTATTTATCTAGTACTATGAATGTTTTGCTGTTTTCTGTTTTTGAGAACAACAGAGTATCTACACAGCACTTTGTTTATGGCAACCTGACTGAAGCCCATTACTTCATAGGTAGCAAGTAAGTAAGCAAAAGATTTCATAATGATACAAGTATGGATGGTGTAATTAATTTTGCATGATGACTATAATGGTTTCAAAATCAGCTTGATTAAAGGAGCAACTTCATCCAGTGTCAATACTTGTAATCATTTATTGGAACATGTCTTCCATTACACACTGATGGAATGAAATATATGCTTCCTTACATTCCACAGAATAGGCTGTGTATCAATCAATCAATGAATCAATCAACAAATAGTTGATTGACAATTGTGTACTTATTTTTTCTAATTTCATTGCCCAAGCAGGGCAATAATAATAAATAGTTTAGATAGTGAGGAGTAAAGGATATTTTAATAATCCTAATGATAGAGATGCAAAGAGCTTTTTTTTGTTTAAATTATTTCAACAGCTCTTTAGATGATGTATAAAAGTAACCAGTCATTTAGCAATTTTCTAAATTTTTTTTTTGTCTAACTTTTTTTTCAGTGAAGGTAATCTCTGATCAGTCAGATCCCAAAAGCCCTATCTTTCATGAACGTATTTCATGCACTTGTGAAAATGGGCATAGTGATGACTGCAAAAAAATATTGGTGAATGTTGCAGGGAATAATTGGTCCATGTGTTCCACATAAATTCTGCTTACGTGTTGCAATAGTTGCAATAGTGTGCCATTTTTCATTCATGACCTCTTCAAAATTCATTACCCTCTCTGAATCTCCAATATAGCTGTTTTTTCCCCATCTTGTAGATGAAGAATATTTGCTGAATTTATATTATGCAAAAGATAACAGTAAAGGAAGACTATTGTTTCTATGAATCCATAAATATTAACCATGTATGGAGGTTGTGTGAATTATAATATACATAACATTAAAAATGCATGTTATGGATGCAGATGTCTATTTGGGAAAGTACAAAAAAACCCCACCTTCCTAACAAAATGGGAAGGTACCTTCCATTATTCAAACATGTCTTATTTTTATAGCTTCTTTGGTGCAGAATTCCCCACAGTGCTTCATACTTAATCAAAAGCTGTCATCTTTGTGGCCAATTGTTTTGTAGGTGTTGTTCAACACTTTCAATTTAGTTTGAATACTTCTCCTACATGATGATATATCAGTTCTGTAACTTCTAAACCAATAGAGACAGAACATTGTCACAGCAATGAACACTGTGCTTCTGAGGCAAATACTAGTTCTAATTTTTCAAGCAGTCTAAAAGGCAAGAAATATATCCTTTATTTTTCCCCATTAATTATTTCTGCAGTAGCTAAAATTAATGCAGCACTTTATCTAAACAGGCTGCTTTGACCCTGGCAATTGTTGAGACTGAGCTGCACCTATACCAAATAAGATTAGTTCATATTTCCTATAAACAATAGCTCTGCATATATCACACAAGGTTTTGACTCTTAGTGTCTCTGTGATTCATCACCATCTTTAAACCCGATGCATAGTCAGTTGTTCCTTCTCTTGTATTTTTCCAGCTGGGGATTATTCCTAAGTGTGATACTTTGTACTTTTCTTTATTGAATTGCATCTTGTTATCTTTTTTTTTTTTTTTCTGGATCACTTTTTCAATTTGTCAAGGTTACTTTCAATTCAAATCCTATTCGCTAAAGTGCTTGCAGACGCTTTCAGCTTAGTATTGTCTGCAAATTTAATAAATGTACTCTCTATTCCATCATCCAGGCCCTTAATGAAAATATTGAATAATACTGGATCCAGGACAGGGCCCATGAAATCCCACTCAGTATTTTCTTCCCGCTTGACAGCTGGTAACTGCTCCAAGTATAGCTTCACATTTATGGTGCGGGCAGTTTCAATAGTGTAATCTGGGTTACTTAATTCTTAGTTTATTTATGAGTATGGTACATAAGAACGGCAAATGCTTTGAAGCAATGAATATGTGTTACATCTACTACTTCAACCTATCAGTAAGGCCTAGTACTAGCCAGGGAGAAAGTAGATGGGATTGATATTTTCTCTTGCCAAGCGGATATTTGCTCTAGATTGTCTGTAATCTTTATCCAAAGACAGCTATTCCATCATTGCTGTGAGAATTGAATTTGGACTGATTAATTTTTTATTTCTGGATCCTCCTATTCTATTTTTTCAAAGTTAGGCACAGCTGTTTACATCTTTTGATCTTCCTGTCCTCCATATTCTCAGAGGAAAGAGAATGCTAAGATTATTTCAGTTAATTCCTGCATTGGTTTTAGTAGCCTGTAGATTGCTATTTACTTCGTTGAGCCATTCCTTCTGAATGAAAATTGAAAAAAAAAAATCTCCAGTAATAAGTTGGTAGCTTCCCTTTTTTCCTAATAAATGTTTGACAAGTTCTTATTATACTGTATACTTTCAACAAAAAAAAGTTCTTAGTACGCATCTTTATGTTTAAATATCTTTTTTTTTCTGTTTTGCTAGTTCATTCACTTTTTCAGGTACTTTTGCAATTCATTGTAATAATTTTTATTCACTTTACAGCCATGACTAATTTATTGTCACCAACAATTTTGTTATCTTACTGTTGAGCTTTTTATGAAAATGCTCAAGAATATCTCTGTGGATTTCTGCTGGCAACCTTTCCCCAGTTTTTTGTCTTAAGTAGTGTCTCCATATATTTGGGACATTCCTCAGTTCTCACTTTTATTTTTATGAATTACTTTACACTTTTTTTAAAATTCCTTCTTGAATCTTTCTACATCAATTTTTTTAACCTAACCTTATTGCATTTCCTCATTTTAGGTGGTTGTTTTTTGTTTTGTTTTGTTTTGTTTTTAAATAGTTCATATTGTTCCCTCATATGATGATCTTTAATGACCAGAAGGTTGGAGCACCTCTTCTCTGAAGAAAGGCTGTGAGACTTAGGATTCTTCAGCCTGGAGAAGAGAAGGTTTCAGGGAGACTTTCGAGCAGTCTTACAGTTCCTGAAGGGGGCCCAAATTAAAGCTAGAGAGGGACTTTTCATGTAGAGATAGGACAAGGGGGAATGACCTTAAACTGAAGGAGAGTATGTTTAGATTAGCTATTAAGAAGAAATTCTTTACTGTGAGATGTTGAGACACTGGAACAGGTTGTCCAGAGGAGTTGTGGATTCCACATCCCTGGAAGTGTTTGAGGCCGGTTTGGATGGGTCTTTTAGCAACCTGGTCTAGTGGGAGGTGTCCCTGTCCAGGGCAGGGGGGTTGGAACTAATGATCTTTAAGGTCCATTCCAACTCAATACATACTATGACTGCTATGATTCTATGAGATTTTTAAGAAGCTGCTACGAGTTCTGTCCTTTTTTATTAAGATAAAAATTACTATTCTATTCTAGTGATGTGCCCACAAGTACTGAGTAGACCAGTGGTTGAGGTACAAAGACTTCAGTTTGCTAAGATTTGTTCGTCTTTAGTATTGTCTGACTGTGCAGTATTTGAGGCATTCCTGGCACAGTCTTAGCAGAGAGGCTATGTAAAACACAGGGGGGAATTTACAGGAAAAAATTACCTAAATCTGTTCATGTTTGAAGAGATGGCAAACCTGCGTGGAGTTTAGTGGGAACAAAATTAAATAATTTTGAGTGCTGAAATATGTATTAACAAATGCATTTGCAAATTATATTTTGTTTTCATCATTCAGAGAACAGGAAATACAATTTAATTTAAGAGCTCTTATCTTCAGCCATTAAATGACAGATCTTGATTAAAACAACTTGAAATGAATTAGAAAACTTTACAGTCTCTAGAAAATATAGCAAAGAGTGACAAAAAAACCTCCAAACTTGAAATTTCAGGCTAAGTTTAGCTCTTGTTAAACTAGAACTGCATTTTCATAAACATTAGACACTGTACACCAAGCTTAAGAGCAAAATAGTCCAAGAAAATGTCAAGACAGATTTTCCTGATAAACATTCTCAAAAAAGGTTTGTCTCATTGGCATAAGATACAGCATTTTCTGGTGGAATGAAAAATTTATGTTGAAAGAGTATATGATGTAATAAATTATTGGTAGGTTAAGAAATATTTCAATTTTACAGTAGCTTACCAAATAAAGTTTAAACAGAAGAGAGAAAAACCTGAAGTCGTTTAAGATACCTTAGCTGTCCAAAGACATCTCTTCATTTTTAAGTTGGGATTAATGGAACTTGAATTTTGTTAGCTCAAATCTATGAAATAAGACTTTTAATTGAATAAAAGGATTGGTTTTGATCAGAAGCAATAAATTTCTTTTTAGTTAAAAAATGTTTTATTTTAGCTTTAGCCTCAGGAGGAGTAAACCATTATACTTGGGTGTTGCTGGAGGCAATGTTTTCTTCACAGATGGTCAGCTACAATTTTCTTTCTTTTACTTTTCTTTTGATTCACATTAAAGAAATCTAGCTGCAACCATCTAGAAGGGGCAAGATAATTATGGAATAAATGACTACAGATAAACTCCTCTGTGTTCATCATGGCTTTTTGATTTTAAAAAGTATTCATACACGCATCTAAAACATTTATAAACAAGATTAGAAGAATCTTAAATTTTTTAGCTTTGGCACATATAGTTTCTAGGATGTTTGGCATCATGCAAAAACTATAAACCTAAGGCTTCTAGGAAGTCTGAAGAAATTCAGTAATTGTTAAAATGAGTAGACTTTTAAGATCTGATTTAACTAATTTATATCAATCACAAAAGTACTTGTCAGAACAAATAATTTAAAGATGCCTAAAAAAAATCGTCTTTGATATTCTCAGATGAAATTTTGGAAAACATGTTTGCTACCCAAGCTGTTTTCAGCTAAGTAATGAGTCATCCATGAAAATAAAACTCCAATTACTTTGGCAGATTCCCCATTTGCAAATGCCTTACAATAATGCCAAAATCTCTGCCATTGCTCTCAAGTTCAACTTTAGCTTTGGAAGTTATGTGAAATGATATCTACCAAAATTCTGCCAAGCAGAATATACACTCTGAATAGTAATGCATGCAGATAATCTATTTTTTCAATAAATAACGTTACAAAAAAATTTACTTCTGTAGATGAAGCTGCCTTTACTAAAGATAGCATTTTGCCATTAATTTCTCCATATTCAATTTTAAAAAATAACTTGAAGTCTCAAAATAAGCCCAAAAAGTGCTGTGGAGAACAATGTCATGTAGGCTACCATAAGGGAATACAAATATGTCACTCTCACCCTTATTCCATGATAGCAAAATTTTTCTGGAACCTACAGGGATTTGTTTTACATTATTTTTCTTTATTTATCTTTCTCTGTGGTTAAAGCTTGATCTTAAGGGGTTGTTTGAACTTTTCTCTAGCTATAAATTTCCTGTTTACATTTTAAAGGCTTTCTTGGTTATGGCAGCATCAGCTTGAAAAGCAAGGGAAAGAAAATCTTTAGTGGCACCAAGACCCCTATCTGAAATTTTATTACAGTTAAGACTGTGTTAGTGAAACCCAGCTTAAGAAGGCCATCCAAACTAGCTTCTGATTCATGTTTGTAGAGATTGTTTCCAGGTTAGTATTTGATTATATTCATGCAAAAGATACAAGTATTTAGAACTCATTTTTATATAGAAGTGAAATAAAGGTTCTCATCACATCTCTGAATTTATTTATGA